CTGCTGCCTGCCTCTTCTTTGGCAAACAAAGCGGGGCAATATTGTCAAACCTGGTGTTTCAGGCGTATCCCGCAAAGTTAACAATAGGTTTTTCATTTTCCTGGTGGAGAATGTTAGATCGTAGTAAGATGTGATCCTTTGTACTCTTTGCTTACAAAAGAGAGATCAGAAAAGCTACTTCATGTTTCCAAATTGCAGGGATCGTTGCAATTCTAGTTTGAAGTCAAACTTTGGTCGATAGTTCCTATTTAGAGAGAGAGTGAGTGCTGTATAAACATACACTTTGCTATACATAGGGCATACAAAGTAGCATTATTCTTATAATGCTTATAAATGTGAAGGGGAATAGGACTTGAATTCTCATGATGCTTTAAAAAACCAGGGTTTACAAGCTAAGCTTTGTCCTGTTCTTTGAAAGCGCTGCTGCCTTCAGTTTCACCTCGGAGGTAGATCTGAAATTCGAAGAGCTGTTACGTGCATGTGAATCTGGGGCGTGTTTCAAGAAGGCAATGCCCAGGTATGGGTTTATGGTTAATTAGCACTGCGTTTGGTTATCCCAGTTGTTTGCCGTGCTAGCACGATGGCATACTGCCTGGAGCGAGTTTTAAAGGTGGGCTGATGATGGAGCCTTACGGTAGAGTCAAGTCAGCCTTTGAAATCTGTTCATGTTCACTACATCTTCCGTGTGCACTGTAAGTGTATTTGTAGATGCTATTTATGTGTAACTGTCATACGCCTTTATTCTTTAGGGAGGGATCCAGAATCTGAAACCGTCTTCTAGCTACAGTTGAGGGCTGTTCTGCTCATTGAGCTTCATGCACAGGAGATTCTGGGATTAACAAGGGAGTCTTAGTAGATGCATGCAAGGAAGATAGGTCTATTCAAAAGCTACTTAGGAGACTTTCAGAAATGACAAACTGGAGAGACAGGAAAGCCATTTTAGGTAAAATACCTGTTTCCGTGGATGCGAGTCTGAGCCATCGGCTCCTATAGCTATAGCATGCCTTGAGAAACAGCATCTGGGAACTTTTGATTTTATTTTTTTTTCAAAGAAAAAATATCTTTCATTTTCAAAATGACTGAAAATACCCTATATGAAGCTCTCCATCTTTTTTTTGTCTTGTATACTCCAATAGCGTGTGTAGGTAAACACGGTCGAGTATTTTTTTTGCCTACAACCTGTTTGCTATGTTTTCTGTGACGATGCTTTGGCAGTTGCGAGTCTGTGACGCTCTCTGTAACGCTGCGGTGTTTCCTCAGTAAGTGGATAACTGACATGACCAGATTTCTGTCTCTTTGTGAAGGAGTCTACATGCTGCAGGGAATGTGTTTTCTCATGAAAGTAACCTTCAAATGAAGATTCTGTGGTGAAACCCAGTTACGTTAAATATTTGTTAAACTTGTATCTTTTTTTTTTTTTTTGTATGTATCTTACTGTTTCATCTGTTGGCAAAGTATGCGTTTCCCAGGTATTTAAGCTCAAAAACCTCTAAGGTTGTGGCCTGTTATTGAAACTCTTTTATATTGTTTACGTTTCTGAAAAGACAAGTTTTTAAGCTTTGGCCGCTGTAGTAACTATCGCATTGTTCAAGTGTAGTATTTGGCCCAATGGGCCAGCAGAGTTGGCCTGCCGTTCGTACTCTCCAAGGAAGGACTGGCTCAGGTGTTGTCCTCTGCCCTGCCAAAACAGGATTATCTCCTAGTGAACTGTTAACGCTGAGCCGTCAGGTGAAGGGCTTTAATATGAGCTGAAGGGTCCGTTCTAGTCTTTCATAAGTCAGACCCTGGTGCTTACTCAGTCCGTTCCATGACACGTGTAAAATAAAGAGTTATTGGTGGGTCTCACTCCATTTCTTTCCTTCACTCAAAGTCATGGGGTCTACTCCCCTCGCCTTTGTTCAGAGCTCCAGTTAACACTAACAAGAGTGAAGAGCAAGAATGTTCGTTCTTCTGAAACACCCTGTCCGTGGCTGTGACATCGCACAAACGCTTTGGATAAGGTGTTGCAGCAAAGGCGAAATTTAAACCTATGGCATTTTGAACGAAAGGGGTTTGGTTTTTTTTTTTTTTTTGGGGGAGGGGGGGGTCGTTTGGTTTTTTTCCGCTGCCAAAAGTTGCTGACTTCATTTAGGAGCAGCCATTTAAGAAACTTCTGTTTTGCAAAACCTGAAATAAACCGTATTGCGAAGGAGAATCGTTTGGAGGTAACAAGGTGGTGATGGTCAGGGAATGCGATTAGAGATGTCTACATGGTCCGAGTCCTGTTTGAAATTCTGGTTTTCAACCTGTGACCAATGATGCACGTATCTTTTTTTCCCTGTCTTCCCCCTTAACTTCTGTTGTAACTATGTTACAGTATTTTTCTGTATTAAACCAATTTGATGTGGTACCAAATGTATAACTTCTGCTACCAGTTTGAAGTTTGACTTCTGGGCAGAGACTTCTCTCATGACATTTGAGCATTGTAGCTGTTAAAAATGACCTATTCAGGAAACAAAAAAAGAATATTTTTTTCAAATATTGTAAGTTGTGGATGATGCCTACTTTAATAAAATCCTATGCAGATGTATCCTTGGTTTGTGGTCTTTGTTTAGAGCACGCGAAAGCAGTGATGAAGGATGCCGGTTAGTGCTGAAGCCTTTTCTTCAGCCGCAGAAGCGGTGCGTGATTTGAGGCACAGAGAAAGATCCGGAACACCCCCGGTCCCCAGCTTGCGCGGTGACTCTCAAACGTTTGTATGCATGTTTAACTTTCTGCTGATTATTCCAGTTGCTCTGGAATAATCTGCCATTATTCCAGGCAGATACAGCTTGGTTCCCCTTTAACCTTCAGTGAGCCACTAGGCAGGCACGTGGGCTGTGCTCGCAGGTGGCAGCCGTCCAAAAAGTGCTGGGTTTCAAATCTTCCTCTGCCGCATCTCCATCTCTTAGCCCTTTCTCACGTTGGGAAGCCAGCTGGTCTGTCTGCAGCCGTGGTTCTGCCTCTCTTTACATCCGTGCAGCTCTGAAAGGGCAAGAAAAGAGCAATGGTGTTCTGAGGGAGGAGCTTCAACACGCGCGTGCCAAGAATTTAAGATGGTAGGGTCCTCGTTTCTGCTGCTGTGCAGGTCTCGGCTCCGGCTGTTGCACAACCAGCAGTGCTGGTCATTGAGAGAAGTTTGTGCAGACATGAGCGAGAATGAGTGCGCTCCTAATAACTTACCGTGGACCCACCCTGCCGCATTGATCGACGAATAAACATTCCCTTTGGGTTAAACGAGGCCTTTCCCTCCTCCTACGCCTCATCTTTCTAACGATGGGAACTTCTTGTGGAGGAAGCATTCCACCTGACCACGATTTAATGACTAATGCAGGCATTATGTTTCTTGCAGAACGGGTGAGGGTGTTACAGCACCGCCCTCTTTCCAGCTACTTCACTTTGATAATTAGTTTGACTCTTGTTTACGCATGCTCAGTCTGGCTTCTGTAAGTGCTATAGCTTCTGTAGCAGCTATAAGCTGCTGTAGCTGAGGGGCGGATTGCCATTACTCTTCAGGTCCTTCATCAGGCTCTGCAAAAACGAGCATTATTTCACTTGTCCCATTTTGCCTCCACCCTGTCCTTCAGAGATTTAAGAATATCTGACCCTGTAATCCCATTCATGCAGAACAACCAAAAGCCTCCTAACCTTTTTGCCTTTAATTCTCAGATTTACTTCTCCTCCTTGCTGGCTTGCCTTGGAGTCAGCAGTTGGCTTCGTTGTCTTCACTTCGCTGTTCCCATGTAAGAGGGAATGCACAGAGCTGACGTGATGCTGACACCATGGTTATCGGTAGGCATACGCTAAAAAGCTTTAAAGGAATCATAGAATCATTAAGGTTGGAAGAGACCTCTAAGATCATCGAGTCCAACCGTCAACCCAACACCCCCATGACCACTAAACCATGTCCCTAAGTGCCACATCTACACATCTTTTAAATACCTCCAGGGATGGTGACTCAACCACTTCCCTGGGCA